CTCTTTCAATAACTAGTACTAAGGAAATAAGAAAATAATGGAAAGCACAAAATACCTGCATGCCTGACAAATGTTAAAAAGTAAAGAGTTAAATTTCCAGTTGGCTGGTAGAAAAAAAAAAAATGCATAGTTTGGGGGGCTTGTACAGTCAAGCTCTCTGGTAACAAAAGTCTGTCTTCCCCTTTGTTTGTTTCCTCGGATAAACATATGTGGCCTTTTTTGGTTATCTTGTTTATGAAATAACAATGGGGGGTATCTCATCATCATAAAGACATACAGGTATATGTCATTGTTGGTGTCTGGTTTGTAAAAGTCCAGTTGTATGAAGAGTAAGAGTAAAATATTCTCTCTTCTTTCTGCCGTCTAAAACATTTCAGAGCTTGAGGTGAATGTAAGCAAGTTGTTCTTGGATCCTTGTCAGCTTCTAAAACAGGGGCGGGCAATTATTTCTGCTGGAGGGCTGCTTAATGAGTTTTGGTGAGGTGTTAAGGGCTGCAAGGGTCACTCTGTCCCTTGAGAGGTGCCGCACCCCCATTTTGTGACCAGAAGTCCTGCGCCCAATCCCTGACCTTTGTCCCTGGAAATCTCTCCCCTTGCCCAGGAAGTACTTCTTTGGGGGGGAGGGGGAGGTTTTCTTGTATATTGTGTGTGAAGGAGTTGGGGGGTGATGGGGGGAGTATGTGGTTGGTGGGGTATGGGTATGGTGTGGGGGTATAGGGGGGTGTGCACTTGTTTTAGGATGTGTGAAGTGTTGAGGTTGGGGTGTGTGGGACTGCTGGGGGGGTGTGTGGATATGGTGCAGGTGCGGGGTGTGTGTGAGAGGCATATATGGGGGGTGTGGGATGTGTATGGGTATGATGGGGTGTGGATGCATGTGTGGGGAGGTGTGGGTGTATGTGTGTTGGGGTGTGGGATGTATGTGGGTGTGTGTGGGGGAGTGACTAGGTGGGGGTCAGGGTGTGGGGTTGTGTGTGTGGGATGTGTACGGTTGGATGTATGGTTGGGGTGTGTGGGACAGTGTGTGGGTATGGCAGGGGGTTGAGATGTGTTGAGGGGGTGTGGGGGCATGTGGGGTGTGGGTGGGTTGGGTGAGCACATATGTTGGGCTTCCCTCCTGTGCACTCTTTGCGATGTGGCTCAGCCTAGCTCTTCCATGGGCAGGGGATAGGGGATCAGCGCTGCCTGCCTGGCTTACAGCGTGCTGCAAAGGGCAGGAAAGGAGCTGCCACCAGTCAGCAGTGACAGACGCCCCTACCAGAGGGGAGGGGGGACAGGGAGCCAAGTCTGGCGCTGCTGGCTCTCTTGGTCTCTGTCCCACACCTGCCCAGCAGGGCTGCTGTTGTTGTTGCTTTGCTCTCATGTGCCTGCCTGGCAGGGTTGCACTAAGTGCACAGTGGTTCCTGCTGCTGCTCCCCACTTCCTGCCTGTCCCATGCCTGCCCCGCTGGGCTTTGTGAGCAACCAAACTCCTTCACACCCCCCAACCCTCATCTACACTTTCCCTCACTGAGCGTGGGCAGGACTAGAGTGAGTACAGGCAGAGCCCACCCTGCTCCCCTCAACACTGCAGCTTCTCCTCCCTACCTGCTGCCCAAACCTACAGCAGGGACAGGAGGAGTCGCTAGAGAGATGGAAGAGCCCAGAAGCTGTGCCTGCTGGTGGTGGGGCTGGCGCCCTCCGGTGGAGGAGGCTGGGAGCACAGGGGCAGCTGCTGGCAGGGCTGGATACAGTTAATTGGTATCCACCTGTGGGCTGGATCTGGCCCGCAGGCCATATTTTCCCACCCCTGTTCTGAAATGTCAGGGGCTTTGCTGGACTCGGCCAACTTTAGGTTGTCTTACCATACCGAGGTTTCATTATCTCTAGCAACATTGTAAGGTAGTAACTGCTCAATTGAGTTATATTAGTGCTATGTTGGAGGGATTTTTAACATCTCCTGAAAGGCTGTGGATTTGTCTTCTCCAAGAGTGATTTCTGCTTACAAACTATCTTTAGGCTGTCTACAGAGGAGATACTGACTCTGGTGAGGTGTGTCTAACAGTGCCCTTTCTTCCCTTTTTATCTGCAGCCAAAAGCAAGGATGGTTCTAGTGTATTTTCTTTTTAATTTCAAACCAACTCTTAATATACCACTTGTCAAATATAAAGCAGGTTGAAGAAAAGTTAAAAATTTACATCATTGGTACAGACTCTCAAACTGGAAGTTCAGTCTCTGGAATTTTACCCTTTCACAGTCAGTGCTTTGGAGATATTAACCATGGAGTTAACAGGCATTTTGTTTAGGAAGTTGTACATTATCAGATTATACCTTAACTTGTCCACCAAACAAGCTATTGCTAGTCAAAGAATTAGCTGCTACGCAAAATGAATCCATTCATTACAGCTTGACAGTGATAAGTTGAAAATCGGTTTTGAAGACAACAGTTTTTAAGATAACTGTATAAATTGTATTTGATTAACCAATAGGATGATGAATTTTAGATACTTGGTAACTTAACTAAGATATGGTAAATTAACTGACTTTGACAGGTGTGTACCATGCAGTTCTTAAGATGTATAATGATTATATTGATTCTTTTGTTGCTGTTAGTGTCCTTTGTATAGTGATATATTTGAAATATTTTAGTCTATGCCAGAGGAACAACTAAACGTTTTAGAAGATTAAATTTTAGCAAGCAATAAGAGGCTAAATTACAGAGAAGCTTACATCAACTGAAAATTTTGAATAATATTCCCAGGTATAACTCTTTATTGCTCACTAGTTGCCTTAGGTAACTAACATAACCTTATTGTCATATTTTCAGAAGTGTTAGTATTCATTAGAACAAGTATAAATAAATGTAGCTCAGCAATATTGACGGTACAAAGGTAACCATAGGTATATAAAACCAAACTGACAATTTTTTAAGCCTCATCATATTATGTAGAATCAGCACTTCTACTGTCTTCTAAGTGTCATTATTGTTCTTCATAACCAACACATTAGCATTGAAAAAAAGGAAATGGGGGCTCAGTTTAAAATGATGGTGATATTACTAAGCACTGCAATAAAAAAATCCTTTGTGACACATGATTGTAACTGTTTAGTCTATTCTGGTGAGACAGAAGTTTTATATAGATTTAAGTTACATCTGTGTTTTATTAAACAACTTGGAAACTCTGTTATCCAATAGACCATGGAATAGATTAACCATACAGTAAAATTCCATACATGTGTAAAATAACTGAATTATGGTTTACGTTAAATAATTATCTCTATGCAAATTAACTTTATTTGGGAAAAAGCAATGTTTCCACTAATTTGTAAAAGTGTCCAATCCTCAGTCTCTTCTCCATGTTACTTGCCTCATTAAAACTCAGATGAGAGGCAGCATCAAACCCTTATTTTGTATTTTCAAATGTAAAGGTCCTGTGTCAGTTCCTTCAACATCAGTATTGTAAGTCATTTGGATTTTGGTGGGGACGGTATTAGGATCTTAAATCAAATTTTCTTGATTTTTGGATACTTAAACGTAGGTATTTAAATCTGCATTTGGCATCTAAATGGATTACTGTTTTGCAGCTTATTTTGTTGCTGTTTAAAAAAATTCTAGTGTTGAAGGTTCCTAGTCACATCTAGCCATGGGTGCTTTGGAAAAGGAGTTAAGTTCCTATTGTGAATCAACAAAGATAAGGCAAAGGTTTGTTCATGAGAGAAGATGATGATCCTCAGTTTTCATTTGACCCTATTTCTGCACGCCTACTGAGGTCTTAAAGTACTCAGTAGAATTAGAATCTGAGCCAATTAATACTCTTCAGCAAGTAGTACCATATTTACCCAAATCCAAGATGACTTTGAATTTATGATAACCCTCCAATGATTAGATTGTAGACATAGAACATTTTATAAATCTGTTACGAGTTTCCATGTATAGAATCTTAGCTATTGAGGGTTGTTTTTGATCCTCTCACTGCTGCAGCGGGACAGACAGGGGAAGGGGAAAGGTAGGACAGGCAGCGGGGGGAGTCAAGTAGCCTATCCCTTGCCACCTGCTACCTGTTTCCCTCCTATCACCTGCCCCCCTGCCACTTGGCCCCACTACCCCCTATCCCCCCCATGCCTGCACCCCCAACTCCTGCCCACCCTGTGGCACCAGGACCACCTGGAACACATGGTCATTCTTGCCCCAGTCAAGCCACACAATGGCTGCAGTGGTCTGGAGCCAGAGAATAAGGGTGTGGGAAGAGGGATAGTTAGTGGATGTGGCTCTAAACCTAAGCCTGGGTAGGAAACAGAGTTGGAGCCACTGCAGCCAAGCCCCCTCCCCTCCCCTCAAATCCAAGATGAGAAGTTTTTTGTGTCATATTAAATGAGGAAAATAAACCTTGTCTTGGATTTGAGTAAATACAGTACTTCCAATTCATATTGTCTTCAGAATTCTTCATACTAAGGCACGCACAAAATAAGCTAGACAGTTAATTTTATTATCTATGTTATGTCAGTTTTATCAGCAACGTGACAGTTTGATACAACATTTTATCAATTGCGATAAAACTTCATATTCTGGACTCTATCTACAGTTTATTTTTCTCCCTCTATTGTACAGGTAAATACCAGCTGTCTCCAACGGTGAATATGCCCCAAGATGACATGGTCATTATTGAAGATGATAGATTGCCAGTACTTCCACCACATCTTTCTGACCAGTCATCATCTAGTTCCCATGATGATGTGGGTTTTGGAACAGTGGATGCTGGTGCATGGACTAAAGGCACAATTAATGAGTCCACAGACTGGTAAGATCAACCATAGAGCAAAAGTACAATAGTTCTTGGTGATCATACCTTTTTCTTTAATATTAATTACAATGAATATCAATCTTTATTTTTAGTTGGTGTTCAGGCCCAGCGTTTTTCACATATTTAATTGCTGCTATTTCAATAAGAAAATTGGCACAGGTAATTTTGATGGAGGTTTATTTTCTGATTTTACATTTTTATGCAGTCTCAAAACTCATTTAGATAAATGCGGCTGATTGTTCTTAAGACCAGAGTCAGTATATAGCACTGCTAATTTGATTACTTAATATTAATCAGTTACCAGCTGAGTTAGCTTTGGGTTTAATCAGAACAATCTGAACATTTATAGGACAGTGTTGGTTAAATTTAAAAGCTGAAGGTTATGAAAAATTAAGACAAAGCCCAGTGGGAAAAGTTCGTTTATAATTCTCTCTCTAAATATAATCTATCTTCATAATCCACATAACCATAGTCTATATGACTTTCTAAGTGTCCATCTATATTTAAGGTCTTGCAGCACATCACCATTCGCCTTTTATGACATGGTACATAAGAAACAATGTAACATTAAAATTTTTTTTTGGAAATGGGAGTTCTTAGTTTAGGCCTGTTATATGTTTGTGCTCACATAATGTGACTAGTTAAGAATGCCTTATTATTTAGGACAAATGAGATCCATTATGTGCAGTATTCTGATTGGTAAACAGAGTATTGGTTCCATATTTTTAAAACACAGAAACCAAATTTTCTAACATTTTAATCTTCCGATAAAAGTAATTTCTATTAATACTGGATTAAATCTGTTATCTAAGTACGTACATGGAAATTTTTATAAATGAATCACAGTGACTAATGCAATTGGTTCCATTACTGGCTTGTTTGTTGTTCCTTGTAAAAGAAATACCATATATTGCTTAGCTAGTTCTGTTTAGTGTGGCTCTGTGAGAACTGTGAATTGATTTGCAAGTCTTGTAATTATGAACAGCAATAGGCAAATTATGAGACTTCTTTCTGGTACTACTTCCTAATGTTGCAGTGATAATTAATGCAAAAGGAGTGACGTATTAGAATGTTCTTATTTCCCCCACCCCCTGGGTGCATTATAAATGTGTCAGCAATATCTTAATAAAACAGATTCTGATTTGCATGTCAGCTGCTTCTTTTTTTTCTATGAAGTGTATTTGGATTGCTGTCCTGGGATGGCTTTTGCTATGTCTGTGCACTCTTTGAATTATTATATTGAAATGTAACTTTTTTGCCTTCTATTTTGTTTTTCTGTTAATGTTGAGGCTGTTCTCAGAAAGTCTCACCTGTAATTTGGGTCCTTGAAAAGTCCATCTGTGTCTCTTGTAAAAGCTTTTTAGAGCTGAAAATCTGAGGTTTTTAAAAATAGAATGCTGCTCAAGACTACACATAATAGGTTATCTCTGAGTGATTTTTTTTTTTTTTAGCTGAACATGGGGGGAAAACCTACAGCATAACGTAAAAGCCATTTTTGAATCTGCACATTTATGGTTGCAGTGTAGCTTATTTTTGTTTCCAGAAAAGTGTATGAATAGTAACAATAAAGAATTAGGGATTAAATATTCTGAGATTCATTTTGTGCAAAAACCTTGACATTTCTATTTTTATGAGAAATTGTTGGGGTCTTTAGATACCGTTGCAGTTAAAAGAGCAGATCAGTTTAGTGCCTCACTCATCTATAATGCATTCTTTGTAAAACAAACAAACAAACAAATAACGAATTAAATAAATAAATAGCAGTAAAAGTAGATTGTTGCATTAATTTCCTGCTGCTAATGAAAGGATGAAAGAAGACTTGTAAAATGAAGGTGCATTGTATGATTTTGCTGGAAGGCACAAAGGGTAAAGCTAAGAATATGGATGAAGGGTTATCCAAACAAGAATGGCAGCTGTTCTGAATCACAGCAGAAAATGTTAGCTTTTCCAGCCTGCAATATCTCTCTAATCCTTGATGAAAATGTTATGAAAACAAAGGGGCAATAAGACAGGATTAATAAGTGGAATTTTAATAACATTGAGGGTCAGAAGACGGTTACATTCTTTTAAGAATCAGCTGTCATTCCAGAAATCTTATTTGTTAAGTATGCTAGAATATGGTAAATTGTGTTTGGCATTGCTTTAATGAGTTGCATTAATATAAGACAGAAGGTGACTTTAACATCTTTGAGAAATATTAAAATTAGCTATTTTCTGGATGTTAGTTTCTCTGCTGTGCTTGTTGACTTTTCAACTTACGGTTCTTTACCATATGGATGTTCATTTGAGTATTATTTGGCAAACATATGTTTAAATTACTGTGATTTTGGTATTTGTTAATTACTAGGATATATTTTTGCCTCATTAATAATATATTTTTTTACAATGAAGGCTGGACATTATAACTTGTGGAATACCATGACATTCTAATATCTCCAGTGAAGGAGAGCTTGTAAATGTGAGAACTGTATTGCTTTGAGATCTGAATGAAAGTTTAATCTTCAGGGGGGTTTTGCAGGCATTAAATAATTAGTCCTTATAAGGACCTCTCAGAGCATGATAACTGCAGATGAGGAAGCTGAAAAGCAACTGAGAGATGACATGATTTGCCCAAGGATTTAGAATGGGTGTTAGATGAGCTGGAACTAGAGCTCAGGAAATCCTGGTTCCCAGTCCCAGTTTGGACCTTGTCATTCTTTTTATAATCCCTGTGATGCATTTGAAGTTTTATTTCACCATCAAGGTTTAGTATATTGATAAGACTTTAAATGAATATCTATAGCCAGTGTTGAATTTTGAACATGAAAATTATATTAATCTTTGTAATAAACCTTACAACCCTGGTTAAAATGAGCAGTGGTATGAGGAAGATCACACCAGCAAAGGAACAGGCGGCCAAGACAAACAGTATTAGAAATTCATTCCTTGGAAAGAAAGAACCACATAATCCATTCTGTTCAACAAGATAAAGCTGGTCATCTCTAACTTGTGCAAGCTGCATTAACAAATGTTGGTAGAGGAATTTCTCATTTAACAGCAACAATTTTCTTCCTTAATACCAACAAATCACTGTAGTCTTCAGAGGCAACAGGGCTTAGTTGCAAGCCAGAAAATCTTGTGTAGCCTTTGGAAAGTCATTTATGATCTGATTATGAGAGATGAAGAATCCTGTAAGGTCATTTGAAATAATTTAGGACATGTTTTCAAACTGATGTGAGCCATATTCCTCTCAGAATTCCAGTACTGAAAATACCAAAAATATGGGTGTGTCTGTTTTTCCTTTCTGTACCATGGGGGTTAAGTAAACTTAGCCACATGGGCTAAGGACAGACAGTCAAAACGCCTGAGCCTGAATTGGTTTAATCTTTGCAGGCTAGTCTAACCTGCCTAGATTGAATCAGTTTGCAACTGCACAGACATTCCCTATGGACTGAAAAAATGCAGACACATGCCTGCAGTGG